TCATGTACAGGTACAAATTCCCTGTGATGAATGTTATCAGTATGAATATGTAAATTGTACCAATAAACATTTTGCTTTTTAAAAAAAAAGAATTTGGCACATCTGTTGAATTGGTTATCATATAACTTGACTCATTTCTCACAGTCCCTCCAGTGAGAAATAGAGTAGTTCAGCCCATTTAAGAGTCCAGTGATCAGGGGCTGGGGATTTAGCTCAGTGGTTCTGCCGCCTGCCGTGAAAGCACAAGGTCAAGAGTTCGATCCCCTGTACCAAAAAAAAAAAAGAGTGCAGTGAGTTGCTGGGATGTAGCTGTGTTGTTAGAACACCTGCTAAGAACCCAGTGACAAATTACATGCTCTAAATTTGCAAGTTGGACTCCCACAATTACATAATTGTGGAAAACTGCTGGAAAACTTGCCCCTGGTCACTGAAGTTTTGTGGAACAGCATAGGGCTCTATTGGTCCAACACAGTCTGCTTTCATACCTATGCCCTGTGCTGGGGCTTTGTTCCATTCACATCTTTCCAGCAGTTGGTAGTTGAATTTTTCAAGTCAGTTGAGAAACTTTTTCAACTGAATCAAACCAATTGAATCCAGCTCTCCTAACAGTCATCTAGTGTTGTGTTCCTAGTTTTGTTTCAGTATTGGGGAATGAACCCAGGGACTTTGCACTGAGCTACATCCCCAGCCCTTGAGACACGAGTCTGGCTAAGTTGGCCAGGTGGGGCTCAAACTTGTGATCCTCCTGCCTCAGCTTCCTGGGTTGCTGGCATTACAGGCATGCACCACCACATCCAGCATGTTCCTGATTTTTAACACATTTTCTTTGGTGTGGAGTCAGCCAGGAGCCATTACTGTCAAGTGAACAAAACTTTGAGTTTATTGAAAAAGAAGTTTGCTGAGTTCTATTTGTTTTGGCAGTGCTAGAGACTGAACCCAGGCCCTTGTGCATGCTTAGGCAAGAGCTCTGCCACTGAGCCACGTCCTCAGCCTTGTCCATTTCTAATTCCACACGCTTGTTCAGGCTTGTCTCTACCTAGGCAGCCACTTTCCCATCCTCCAATCCCTGCTACTTTTCCACGGAGTCTACAGTTACATCAGCTGCTTTATAATTTCAGTAGCAGAAAGCAAAACAGTGTTCACTAATAGGTGTTCATTAAATATTTGGTGCCTGTATTTGGGTTACACTGATTTAAATCAGGGGATTACTTTGCCTATACATGGCTGTAAACCACTCTTACTATATTTACTAGTAAACAACTAAGGGATTTTCTGTTACGGTTCTGCAGCTCACCAAACCCCCTTCCCAGGAGGTCCCAAGCAAACATCAAGTTGGTTCTTTTCCTAAGAAAACTGGGGCTGAGATGTAGCTCAGTGGCACCTGCCTGGCAAGTACAAGGTCCTGAGTTTGATTTCCGGTACTGGGGGAGAAAAAGAAAACTTGGGACATTGCTTCAGGCCTACTTTGGCTGCCAGGTTGTCCAGAATACCAGCAAACCGCTCTCACCAGCTATACCAGTTCTCGTTAATGATAGCTTTCAAGCTAAACTCCCACAGAGGTCTTCTTGAGAGTTAACCCATGCAGCAAGACTTCAAAGGGCAAGTCAGACAAGAAATGAAAAACCTATAGTTCCAGCCTGCATGAACTTGGCTTACATTTCTTTTTTCTTTTTGGTACCGGTCGAACTCGGGTCCTTGTGCTTGCGCAGCAGGCGGCGAAACCACTGAGCTAAATCCCCGGCCCTCACATTTCTTTAATACACATCCTCTTTAAACTGCATTTCCATAATTGTTCTAGACTAGGCAAGCCAACCAAGTCCTCAACCAGACCAATATTCCACATTGATCACTGGCACGGCCCAGCTGGGTTAGACGCAAGAACCAGAACAGTCACACTGTCCACTAGGTGTCACTGTTGGCTAGCAGTGGCTTCTAAAAGGACCCGCTTGCAACTGGAAGTAAATCTGAGGACACTTTTCTAAGACAGGAAAGAAACAGAAAGGGAAAGGCAAGACAGCCATGACTTTCTCCCACAGGGCTCCCCAATTAGCTACACGGAGATTATGACAAAACATAATACTAAAGATCACTTGATCTTCAACCTACTGGTCTAGAATGATTCAACAAGTAGTTGCTATTACAGTTCACATCTTGACTCAGCAGTCAGGTTCTAAACAGCCCTGTGGCAGACTATACTTCTACCTAGTATTCATCTTTTTCTTTTTTTGGTACCAGGGATTGAATTCGGGTCCTTGCACTTGCAAGCCAGGCAGCAGAACCACTGAGCTAAATCCCTGGCCCAAGTATTCATCTTAATAATTTAAAAAAATTAGTCATAATGGCTCAAATGAAAAGCACTATAAAAAATGGACATAAGGCTTCTTACTATGAAGTGTAAGAAGAACTCCTTTCATCAGATGATCTTTGAATTGTTTTCCCACAAATCAGTTTTCTGGTAGACACGGAGTGTCTTACAGTTTAACTCAATTACTATGGCCTGGCAAATATAGCCAGTGTAACTGGTCAGTCCTTTTGTTCTTTCACAAGACGGACAATAAGCCAACATGCTAACGAGATCCAAGGCAGGCATGTCTCATTTGTGTGCTCAACACCTAACTCACCCTAAGCAAAGGACCGAGGCAGACCTGTCCTTGTTCTCAGCACTCCTGTGACCCAGTACACAACTTCACAGAACTCAAGAACTTCCTGGGCCCCAGCATGTTTATATGCAGAATAACAGAGCTTGAAGGACTAAAAATTGGTCACATTCAAAGAAAGGACCAAATCTTAAAAAGCAGAATCTATTTAATATGTCAAATTGGCTTTAGAGATAAAATATTTCAATAAACTTGATACTAGGGAGATAAATATTTGAAGAAACTGATTTTGAAAATATGTATTTTTTTCTTTTAAAAGTTTCCAGGTAGTATGGATTATCTGTGGTTACCGTGGCAATATAGCTAACACTGTTACTACATATTACCTACTTTTTGAAAGAGATGCTTGTTTGGGAGTTACTCTGTGAAACATTGAAAATGAGAACTCAGGGCAACACTTTGTGGGCTTTGGTGTTTGATTTTGGGTTGAAACATGGTCTTGCTGACCTTGAAACTCAGTGATCCTCCCACCTCAGCCTTGCAAGTGCTGGGACTACAGGCACGCCCCACCACACCCAGCAGAGGGAAGAAGGCCAGAGCCCATAGCACCAGGTAACTCAGGTGGTCGCCCATCCAAGCTGGACCCTGCTTGGCTGAGGTTGGCACACTCAGGGTGAAATGGCCATAGACTCTGGGCTCTTTTAACTCGCAGCTGATTTCTGGATTTAACAGGAAGAGGGCACCTCCATAAGAAAGCACAAGAACCCGCAAAGCAAGTCTTTTGGGGGGTGGGGGTGAGACAGGGTCTCACTATGTAGCGCAGGCTACCCTCAAACTCATGGTGATCCTCTGGCCTCAGCATCCTCCGTGCTTGGGATTACAGGTGTGTACCACTGCCCAGCACAAGTTAGTCTTAAATCCATTTCAATACCACAGGGTAAACAGAAAAGACAAGGAACACCTTGAAACTCCAGCCAGGGCAGAGGTAATGTACCTACAGGGAGGCCTTAAGAATGAATAAAACAGGCAGGTTAAGTATTTGCTCCCACATCCTAGCAAAATGCCTTGTAGTCCTGATTAAAAAAAACATATATGCTAGGGCTGGGTGTAGCGGCGCAGGCCTGTAATTCCAGCACTCAGGACGCTGAGACAAGAGGATTACTACGAGTTCAAAGCCAGCCTGAACTACACCGCAAGACCGGCTCAAAACACACACACACACAGCCAAAACAACTCCACACATTCTACCAACACAACTTTAAAACCAGATTTGTGTTACACACATGTGAATAAGAGCTTCAGACAACAGAATGTTAGTGAGAATATACAGAAGAGTCTAAAATCTGCACATCAAATTGCTAAAACTGAGAAAAGGGTAAGAGGGAAGGAAGTAGGATGACTTAGAAAGTATTCATGGCAAACATAATTCAGATGTGGGGTTTTTCTCAGTGCTGGGGAGTGAATGCAAGGCCTTGATATGCTAGGTAAGGGCTACCACATCCTGAGCCTACAGGCAGATTTTAAAAGAGAAATGGCTAGGCTAACAAGATTGCTTGTTTTGCCCACAAGCTTTTATTTTTTTCCCCGGTACCGGAGATTAGTACCAGGCAGGTGTGTAGCCACTGAGCTACATCCCCGGCCTGGACACAAACTTTTAAATCTGAAGTTTTATGAGGAAGATTAGTCAAGCAGAATGCTGGTACTCTGGATTGTAAAACTGAGGTGCACAATTTAAGTAGCCTTACTTTTAAAGGAGTATAGAACTCTTTTAAGATATTTTGAGGTTAGCTGATTTTTTTTTCACCTGCAGAAAGATGACAGGAAGAAATATGACTTATGTGTGGTCTCTTCAGCCCTTCCTACTTCCGCCAGGCTCATCACCGAATACACAAGCCCACCCTCCCCCTGCAATACAAGAAAGCCTTCCTCAGGGGCAGCGCAGTGCTGCTCCCTTCCCTCACACAAACCATTCCACACAGCAGTCTGAGCTCTAAACACGCCCAGCGGCCTGTAACCCAGCTTTGCTTACCTTGTTCTCTTCCCTGAAGCTCTCCTGGAGCCCTACCGGCCTCAGCTGAAAAGACAGCTGCCTTTGGCCTAGACCAGCCTGACCACTCTCCATGGGGTTAAGGTCACAAAAAGGGCTGGCAACACATTCAAACCTCAGGAACTTTTATAATAGGTCTTAGCCAAAAGCCTGAGAACCAGTACCATCAGGAACTTCTATCCTCTTTCACCCTCCTTACAAGCGGGAAAAGACTACAAAATAATCAAAGAAAAATCTTTAACCCACTACAGAAATCATTCAACTGCATCTGCTCAAATTCCTATTCAAAGTTTACAACACAGAGGGAGGCACTGAGTAACCTGCTTTTACACCATCAATCACATTCCACAAAGGTATAAAACACAATTACTTTATTGATTTCTTACAATCAAATACTGCCAGCTAGCATTACTTCCACTCACGCATCATTAAAAACAAAGGATAGTTCCTTGGTATTTTCAAATGATGCATTATATAACAAACAGAACTTAAAATGCACCGATTACTTATGTAAACTGGTAATTTTTTTAAAAAGCATAATTTGGTTCCTTTCTTCATAAAATGGAAATTTAAATATTTCTCCTGATAGTCTTGAGGTTATCATTATAAGTAGTGCAAGTGTGGCACAGAGTTTCATCTAGAAAGGTGTACCTCTTACACACCTTCTTTAAACAAAATGTGCATAACAAAATGCATACAGTCAATGCACAATAGCATGTTTCAAATACAAGGCAGCTCCTCAGGCCACTGTATTATTTAGGTTTTGCATTATCATTTATGGCATTATAGATTAATTATACATAACATACTTTTATACATTTAAACCCTGAAGATACGAAAAATAATTGTTGCTTGAAAATATTATTCCAGGTAGCCATTTGGTTTGTATCAGGAGAACGCCAACCTCCGAGCTGTGTCTGCCAAGTCAGAATCATTAGCTGTGCCGGTATATCAGATCCACAGTGCGTTTCACAGTGACTGTTCTCACATTCGGGCCGAACCTCTCCCCCACAGAAACCAGATGACGACACTTCCAGGACTGCCCTTGCATGTAGTTTTCCCTTTTTTTTTCTTTTCTGGATTAACTGTGTTACTGAATTATTTCCTCTTCTGACCTCTCTACTGACCTTCCATCTTAATTACTCATAAATCCTTTCAGAATGTCCTCAGAGAGCTCCATAAGCGGAAGTTCTGGAGACGGAAAATCCAACGGAGGAAGGTTGGGTATTGGAATGTCCTTGGCTTTCCCAGTACTTGCTGCAAACTTCTGCCAGGCTGAAGAGGCTGCTGCATTTTCTGAATGTGGTGGCAAGCTCCATAACTCTGATTTTTCTACAAAATCAGCATCCACATCCAGCTCCTTTTCTACTGAACCTTTTAGAAGTCTGGCCTTTTCGGCCCTTAGTTGTTTATTTTCTTTCCTTAATTTTTCATTCTCGGCCACAAGGAATTCCACATGTCTCTTCAAATCTGCAATTTTGGTTGCCTGCTCCTCTATAATTGTTTTGTCATCTTTTGGGGCTTTGCTTCCAATACATGGCTCTGTTGGCTCACTCTTTTGCTGAAGTAAATACAGCAGTGTGTCTGGATCCCTGTCAAAAACCCCCTGAATTTCAGGGAGGTGTTTCTCTGTGGAAGGGCTGTGCTTCTGAGAATGAAGGGGGTTCTGGCCCTCAGCATCCTCTGCAAAGGGTTTGTGAGGTGCCTGGAGATGGACAGCTGCATCCTTGTCCGTGTTCTGCTGGGCTTTCAGCCGCTCCTCACGCTTTGCCCTCTTCCATCTTTCCTGGATGAGGAGGAGCTGTTTCATGTGGCTGTCCCTCTGCAGTTCCAGTGACAAGCGAGCCTGTGAACAGAAGGAAAGGACAGTTTGCAGAATTAACACTCAAGTCTCTTCAGTAATGTTCACTGTTACTCCCTCCTGAATACTTTTTGCAGTTCAACAGAAATAAAAAATTTCAAAATGAATATTTCTAGATAAACTAGAGAAAGGTGTATTTCTGTTCATACACAAGACACCACTCATTCAGAAAGTTGTAAGCCCTATTCCCAAACAGGCTAAATCAGACTTTTCCTGAATGTGCCTCTACCCGCTGCATAAGATCAGAAATCTTCCTTTAGACATATCACAAAGCAGGGTGTTCAGGAGGCTCAATGAACACCTGTACGACGTAGCTGACTTATAAGCAGGTTCTATGCCAGTGATGGTGAACCTTTGAGCTCCAGTAATAACCATGAGCCTGCTGTGGTATGTGTGCCTTAGGTTCACCACCACTGTTCTATATTATCAAAGATAAAACTTTTAAAGATCCTCTGAGTTCAGTGTGAAGACTAAGTGGTTTTTTTGGTCTGCCACCAATTTACCTTGCAGAAATTATCTCCTTAGCTCAGAGAAATGGTACTAGCATTTTATAATCCAGAAATCATCTTTAGGTTTGGGGATGTAGCTCAGTGGTGGCATTTGCATACCATGGGTATGCAAAAGCCATGCATTCAAGCCCCACCACTGAAAACAAAAAGAATCTGTAATCCCAGTACTCAGGAGGCTGAAGCAGAAGGGTCCCAAGTTCAAGGTCAGCCTGGGAAAGTCCTGTCTGAACTACATAGAGAACCTATCTCAAAAAAAAAAAAAAAAAACACCAAAAACCAAAAACAACAAAGAGCTGGGGATTTAGCTCAGTGTTGCCGCCACCTGCCTTGCAAGTTTAAGGTCTTGAGTTCGATCCCCAGTACCAAAACAAAAAACAAAAACCCCAACACCAATATAAAAAGAGCTGAGAGGTGAGCAAGGTGGCGCAGGCCTTTAATTCTAGCATGTGGGAGGCTGAGGCAGGAGGATTACTGTGAGTTCAAGGCCAGTCTGGGCTACATAAGACAAAACAAAACAAAAAATAAGAAAAAGTGCTGGGGAAGTATCTGTGACAGTACACTTGCCTAGCATGCACAAGGCCCTGGTTTTAATCCCCAAACAAACCAACAAACAAATAATCCTAGGAAGCAAGCTCTCTCCAAGCACAGAAGATAATTTCAAGTCAGTGTGGAAACTTTTTTGGGGGGCAGTAGTAGGGACTGAACCCAGGGGCCCTACACTGACCTACATCCCCAGGAGTCCTTTTTATTTTGAGAGGGTCTCACTAAACTGCCCAGGCTGGGCTTAAACTTGAAACCCTCCAGCCTTTTAGTCTGGGATTGTAGGTGTGTGCTACCACACCTGGTGAGACAATAAAAGAATAGGAATTTAAGAGACACGTGGGAGATATTTATACTACACTGACAAACAAAGGACAGCTCAATTAACTTCCCCTTGGCCAGGTCTGCTTATTTACTGTGAGCTAAATAAGGGTCAAATACAAGCTGATAACCAGCAAGATGCCAAGTGGGGTCTTTAAAGGGTTTAGTATCTGGCGATCTGAGATCTGTGAGTAATAACTGCAAAAGAACAGAAGTTTCAGGATGCCACGTCTGGGACATCAACAGTAGTTTTCATTTCCTTTCTAAAGTACTTCACTCTTGTCAATTTTACGTATGTTGTATGTTTTTCACTCTTTTTCAGGCAGACCTTGAACTCACTATGCAACCCAGGCTGTCCTCAAACTTGAACCAATTATCCTGCCTCAGCCTTCAGAGTGCTGGGATTACAGGCATGCCACAATGGCCGGCTCCCTTTTTTTGCACCAGGAATGAAACTCAGGACCTTGAGCTTTCGAGGCAGGCAGTGGCACCATTGAGCTAAATCCCTAGCCCACGGCTCCTTTGTTTTTGTTTTTAAGACAAGGTCTATGTTGTCCAGGCGGGTCTTAAACTTACAATTCCCCTTCCTCAGCCCAATAGCTGGATTACAGGTGGACATCACTGATTTTGTATATTTTAATAAAACTTTTTTAGAGGAATACATTTTGTTTTAGCATACAAGGGTCCAAGAGACCTTGCTACAAGAGACCTTGCTATATTAAGAACATGTCTCACCTGCTCAGACTGTGTCAGCTTCATGGCTTCACAAAGATATGCTGGTAAAAAAAAGAGGCACATGAATATATGAGTGTCATTTTTTTGTAATTATCAGATTAAAGGAAGAGTTTTAATACTCCATATAGAGAATGGGTCTTATGAGCAATTATGCTATTAACTGGAAAGTTTTTAAAGGATAGGATTTTCCAAAGATGTCAGTGGTGGTCAAATGTAAATATTCCCAAACCCATCTTGAATCAAGATTTTGCTTCGAAACCCTTCTAGAAAAGCCTAGGAGTGCAGCTCAGTAGTAGAGCAGTTGCCTAGCTCATGGAGGTCTTGGGTTCAATCCCAAGTCATGAAAAAAAACCCAACAAACACCTACGAATTGAAGATGATCTAATCAGAAAAATAGGTTTAGGAGAGGTTAAAATTAAATGAAAACCTATGGAAGTCTTATTTCACTATGTTTAGAAAACATCAGGAGATTATCAGTGATTTTCTACCCACCCAAATATCTGAAATACATTATTTTGGCCTCCATTAAAAACTAAATTTATCATATTGTTTCTGAGATATATCATCAGGCTGGGCTATAATACAGTAACTAAAAGCCTTAAGAATATGTAGATATATTTACTGTAAGTAAGTTACTAAGGATAATATGTCATATATGAAGACCATCAATTCTGAGTGACTTGATTTGTCTGACTTAAAATAGTAATGTGGAAAGCATTCCTTTTCTTTTTTGGGCTGACTGCTAGAGTGCTGTTATGGTCTGGATTCAGAATGTCCCCCAAAGGCCCACGTGCTGAAGGCTTGGTCTCTGGCTGATGGCACTACTGGGAGGTGGTAGAAACTTTAGGAGAGGCCCAGTGAAAGAAAGTCAGGTTACTGGGGCCAGCCCCTTGAAGAGGATACTGGCCCTGGCCTGCTGCCAGAAAGTAAGTAGCTTTGCTTTTCCCTATTCCTTATCCTGAGGTTTCTACCTTGGCACAGCCCGACAGAGACAGGACCAAGTGACCATGGAATAAACCTTGGAAACCAAGAGTCAAAATAAATTTTTCTGAATTAAAAGCATCATATCATAGCAATACATGCAAATCCATGTTTAGAGCAGCACAGTGTGTAACAGCTAAGTCTTGGAAGCTGCCCAAATGCCCATCAACAAACAAATGGATAAAGATGTGGGTGTTTTTATACAACGGAGTACTACTCTGCCATAAAGGATGAGCTTCAGACATTTATAGCTAAATGGATAGACCTTGATAACATACTCTTAAGTGAAATAAACTGGACATACATGTTTAAATACTGCATTGTTTCTGTGGTGTGAGAAATGAAAATTGGAAATAAGGACTGAAATGTATAATGGATGTTGGGAAAGGGGAAGAAAAGTGTTCAAATGGGAAGAGGAATGAGGGAAGGAAAAGGAAGGGAAAAGAAAAAAAGTGAAAATAGAAGGAAAAAATGGAAACGAAGCTTATGTACATAGGGAGGGGAGGGGGCTTGAGGAGGGGAATAGGATAAAATAAAATTTAAAAAAATAAATTTTTCTTCCTTTTAAAACTAATTTTATCACCTATGTTGTCACAGAAACAGAAAACACAAAAAACTGGTACTGTGGAGTTGCTACTATATGTGACTATACCTGATAATGTGGTTCAGAAGGCTTTGGACTTGGTTTGCAGGTGGAGCCTGGCAAAGTTTGGAAAAGTAGGCTACAGAGAGCTTAAAACATGGAAAGCAGAGCTTAATGGACAATTCTGGCTATAGCTCCAAAGACCAGATGTCGATAGTAATGCAGAGTAAAGGTCAGGCTCAGGTTTCATTTTCTCTGCTTTTTGACAGCTGGACAAAGAGGCTGGCTTTGTTTTCTTCAATTCTTTCATTTCAGACTTTCCTTCCTCTGAGTCTTTCTCAGGTGTTGACCTGTCCCTGCAACATCTCTAAAGGGATTTTCCTTCCATACAGAGTACATCTACATCTATACCTCTCAAAACACCTGTTGTAAGTGAATCTGGAATGAATTTGGAAAAGAGTGAATTCACCCCAACACATCAATTTGCAACTCTACTCCAAAACACAACACAAAGCTATTTTTAAGTCTAAACTCCAAATGGGCTCAGGAGGATTTACTAATTACATTAAGGTCTACCTTCATAATTAAAGCTAATGTGATCTAACAGGTAGAATTTAGATGTGTGTGTTGTGGGGGAGGGTGGTATTTGAAATTCAAAAGTAGTTTTAGGTCTTTAATGACAAAGATCAGGTTAAGAATGAAACTTTTTCCCTTTTATTATTCAGAACATCCTGCACCTGAGTATACAATGCATGTTGATTCACTTCATTTTAACGTATGATTCTGTATTCTACAACTGTGGCACCCATCCACAACATGGATTTCTTACATAGTTACACACAGGATACGGTCTCTACAGTGACTACAAATTTAACAGTCTGAAAACACAATACAATTTAGAAAATATTTAAAGAGCATGAGTTGACAAGTTAATGTTAGGCAAGGGTATCAAATACACCATAAAAAATACAGATTTATGTGTTGTCTTCTAAGGGCCCAGTTATATGTGTTATACTTCAGCAGTAAAACTAATTTTTTTTTTTTTTTTTTTAGTACTGGGGATTGAACTCACCACCTTTCGCTTGCAAGGCAGCCTCGGTGCCACTGAGCTAAATTCCCAGCCCAGTAAAACTAATCTTTTAAAAACAGTATTTTCTCAGGGCCAGGGATTTAGCTCAGAGGTGCCGTGTCTGCCTCACTAGTAGCACAAGGTCCTGAGTTCAATCCCCAGTACCAGAAAAAAGAAAACAATATTCTCTCTGAAAATTACTGACTTATAAACAAAAACCACTGAAGAGAATTTATCCTCACCAAGGCCTACTGTGTAGTCTGTATCTCAGAAGTAAAATAACATAGGAGGGGCAGAATCTAGCAGGAGAGAACACAGCTTCCACAGAAGAAGAGGAAGGACCTTTGGTGGTTTAACTCATGGTCAACTTGTACTGCCCAGCTGAACTGATTCATCACGCTCTGGGCATCAAAGATCTACCTGAGGATTGTTGCCAATAGCCATAAAAAGAGAACTGGAGGGGAAGATCCGGGGCTGTTGATTTTCTAGAAGCTTGCTACAGTTGGTTTTCCTGATGCAAACTTGGCTGTAAACTCATTGTAGGAGGTGCTCGGGGTTTCATGTCACTGGGAAAAGCTGCTGCTCTGTCAGGGGAGCTTTGACCTTTACCGTGAGCATCACTTCCTGGCTCCAACGTAGATCCTTCAGCCCAATGGCACAAATCCTTCACCCTATTGGCATAGGTTTTCTGGCTTCTACCACTGGCCTTTAGGCCTTCTGGATGCAGATCCTCAATACGGACAAGCATGAGACATTGCCTTGGACTCTAGGCCTTTAGCTGGATTTGTGTGGGACATTGCTTTGGGATCCAGGCCCTTAGCTGGATTCTTTAGGCCTCTAGTGTGCAATTAATCTCCTGCACTCCTCTGTATTTGACTTTTTTGGGTAAGTATCATAAAATAATCATATAAATTATTTGTCCTGTATTAAGTCTATTTCCCTTGCAAAACCCTGACTAGAACAGCCTTTCAGTAGAGGACTGCAGGGCTTGATCTAAAGGAGGTAACTACACTCACTCTGGATGCAACATGAAGAAAACCCCACCCTCAACACTTTTAGCTTTGCGACTCAGCTGCAGATACTGGTCAGTGCAACTATTTCTGAGCTGAACATATGCAAAGCTGCTTGGCTGAAATAAAATTAGGTCTTATACACACATACATACATACACACACACACACACAAATTAAAATTAGGTCTTTGTTAAGAAGGGAAGTATTCTTTTTCTTATATACTTATTTAGGTCCCAAGGACTGAATTCAGGGTCTTCTACCACTGAGCTACATTCCTATCCCCTACCACCACCTTTCTGATAGGGTCTCACTGAGTCACTAACTCGCCCACACTAGCCTTCAATTCGCCATACTCCCATCTCAGCCTCCAGAGTGCTGGGATTACAAGCATGCACAACACCCTGCTTGTTGTGACTTTTATTCTAAGTGGTAAGAGATACCAGGGAAAAGAAACTGCTCTTCAGTTTCACAGTCAATATTTCTTAAAAAAGAATACTCACCTGCAGCCTTTTTGTGACAAGAAATGGCTTCTTCGTATTTCCCTACAGCCAATAACCGGTCTGCTCGTCTGCTCTGTTGATGAGCCTAGAAGACAGACATTCTAAGTTCCTTTGATTTATAATATATAAGACTTTTTAAAAGCATAATAGAGGGGCTGGGGATTTAGCTCAGTGGTGCTGCCACCTGCCTTGCAAGCATAAGGTCCGGAGTTCAATCCCCAGTATCAAAAACCGTAATGGAGGCTTGGGGGGGCCGGATAGCTCAATGATGGAGAGCATGCTTAGGGTACCCTCTCAAACAAAAATGATAAGTAATGTTTTTTGCTACACATCAAAGCATTATTACAGGTACATTTATAAGTAGGGCTATTTAAGCCAGGTATGCTGGAGCACACTCATAATCCCAGCACTTGGGAGGTTGAAGCAGGAGGATCACCAGAGTTCAAGGCCAGCCTGGGATCTACAGTGAGTTGAAGGCTAGCCTGGACTGCATATCAAATCTTGTCTCAAAAAAAAAAAAAAAAAGATTCAAGGAGGTAAAACTCAGCACAGATCGGAAGAGCACACGTCTGAACTCCAGTCACCTACCAGGATCTCGTATGCCGTCTTCTGCTTGAAAAAAAAAAAAAAAAAAAAATTTACCAGACATCCAACAAGTGCAAATTATATACGCCTAGGTTTTTAATTCTCAGCTTGAACACTTTGATAGATGCATGACCCTCGTTATCTATCTGCCTCAGTTCTCTCTTCTCTAAAATGAGCTGTTGGAAGTAAAAAGAATTAAGATTTTTTTTTACATGTACTGAATCTCCATAATGAATGTAATCATTTTGTACTGCAGACATGTACTAATAAAAATTTTTAATGAGTTATGAAAATTAAAGAATCACTCTTCTTAAAATGGTATATAGGAGCTGGGGATTTATTTATCTCAGTGGTTCCATCACCTACCTCACAGGTGCAAGGTCCCCGAGTTCAATCCCTGGTACCAAAAATAAATAAATAAAATGGTGCCTAGGACATAGTACTGTATAAGTCCATCATTATGCTAGTACTATGACAGAATATAAAGGAGGATGAAAATGTATTTGGAAGAACTAGACTGAACTTTAAACACGAAAGATACTGTAAGAAAACTACTTTGGAACTTTTGGTAGTAATTTTTACTTTTATTATTTTTGTTTTTGAGGCAAGCTTTCGCGAAGTAGTTCAGGCTGGCCTCAAACTCAGTGATCCTCCTCCCTCAGCCTCCCAAGTGCTGGGATTACAGGTGTGTGCCACCATGTCCAGCAGTAATAATTCTTATTTTTAAAAGAACTTTTCAAGATTTCACATTGTAGACTGGGGGGAGGGGTACAGGGATTGAACCCAGGGCCTTCACACTGAGCTGCATCCCCAGCCCTTTTTTTTATTTTAATGACAATGTCTTGCTAAATTGGCCAGGCTCTGCTAGAACTTGTCTTTCTCCCTCCTCAGTTACCCAGGGTGCTAGGATCATAGGTGTATGCTACCACCTCTCATCAAGATTTCACATTTTAAAACCAGTGTCTCTTTAAATACAGTTCCTGGTAGAATCTTAACTTTTAAGAACATTAAGTCCATAAACACACTCCTTCGGTGATTCAAAATAAAAACGATAGCCAGGTATAGTGGCACTCTCCTGTAATCTCAGCACTCAGGAAGCTGAGGCAGCTCTGCAGTGAGTTCAAGATCAGCCTGGACTACACAGCAAGTCCCTGTCTCAAAAAAACTAAAACTAAATAAATAAATACTATGAGATTTGCAATGAAAATTCTTTCTGTGCATTGCTCTTTTTCATATCGTTCCTATGGGGAGTTGCCATTTTCTTATATTGTCTTGTTCTCTGGACACCTAAAGAATCCCATCCTTCAAACTTTCAAACTCAGGACCGAAGAGAATGTCAATAAAGTTTCAAATGATATGGCATTCAGAGACTTGCCAGGTGGAAACACTGGGCTGCAGAGAGAAGTGAAGCGGCCCAGCCTGAAGAGGCAGAGCAGCACTGTGTGCATGCAGGGGTAGACCGTCCCTGTCCACCCACACACATGGCCCCAGTCCAGTAAATCACCCCTTTCAGCTGAAGCACATATGAAGTGGATCTGCATCATCTGCAACCAACAAAAATCCTAACTCCAACTAGGTTACTAAGCAACCACTCTCACTGATAATACTTTACTGCTTCTACAGGCTGCTTTAAAAATACAGGTTCAATGTTGTTTTCTTCACAAAGGAAAACAGTATTATCTTTTACAGCTTTCAATTTATTAACTTCTATGATCTTGAGGAGAGTTGTATTCAAAGACAGAAAGACCTTTACAAACATAACACCAAAAAGCAAGCAGAGGAAAATGCACTACACTCCAGACTTCACGGTCAGTGCTCCAGCTGGGAGCAGAGCGGGTCCCTTTCCCAATCAATTCCCCGAGTCTCCTACAGACAAGTAATAAACAGCACCTCTAAACAAGAAGCACTGAACTGACTATATAATTAGTGTAATGAAACTACACTTAGCAGAGTGTTAAAACGGTAGAATCCCAGGAAGCCCTCTTTTAAAGTCTGAACATCAACCTCTACATGCAGCTCTCCCTGCACTTTTTTCTTTCATCAGCTTCCAGTTTACCTTGTTTTCTTTTATCTCCTACAAAGACAGTGAGAATCTCATGCTTCATCTTTCACATTACATTACACAACTCACTAGTGAGTTCATAATTCAGTGGATCACAACTAGCATTAAAAAAAATATTAAATTTGTGTATGTGGTACTGGGCCTTGAACCCAAGGCTTTCGCACCCAACCCTTTTTATTTTTTACACTATTTTGAGACAGTCTTGCAAAGTTGCCCAGCCTCAGATTCAACTCGGAATCCTCCTCCCTCAGCTTCCAAGAATGCTGGGACTATAGGCATGAGCCATCATATCTGGCATAAAATTTTAATACTAAGGTGTGGTGGCACGTGCCTGTAATCCCAGCACTTGGGAAGCTGAGGCAGGAAGATTGCTGCAAGTTTGAGGCCAGCCTGAGCTACACAGTGAGTCCAAGGCCATCATGAACTACAGTGAGATCTTGTCTCAAAAAAGCAAAACAAAACAACAACAAAAAAAGCAAAATAACAAAAAAATCTTTTACTAAATAGTAAAGTATATCATCTATACCAAAAGCTTGTTTGGTTGTTTGTAGTTTTGCATAATTCTAGGAGGCACCTTCTATAATTTACTAGCTCTGCAGGACTATGTACACCTATGTCATCATTCTGTAAACATTTCTCATTGTGAGAGGTGTGGCACAGGCCTGTAATACCAGCACTCTGAGAGGCTGAGGCAGGAGGATCCAAAGTTCAAGCATGGCCTGGGTGACTTAGTGACCTAGAAAGACCCTGTTCCAAAATAAAGAAGGGCTGGGGATATAGCTCAATGTGAAGGCCTTGAGTTCAATTCCTATCAAAAAAGAAATCTTGGCCGGGGATTTAGCTCAGTGGTTTTGCCGCCTGCTGCACAAGCGCAAGGACCCGAGTTCGATCTCTGGTACCAAAAAAAAAAAGAGAAATCTTGTGTGTCAGGGCAGATGGGTAAATAATACTGCCTTAAAAGAAAAACTGCCAGGGCCGGGGGTTTAGCTCAGTGGTTCTGCTGCCTGCCTTGCAAGCACAAGGTCCCAAGTTCACAATCCTCAGTACCAAAACCCGCCCCCCAAAACAAAAACTGCCTAATATAAAGATCAATACAGCTGGGCATAATGGCGCGCACCTGTAATCTCAGCACTCAGAAGGCTGAGGGAAATACTTCCAAAACTGCTACATAGATTCAATGCAATCCCAATTGAAATCCTAACAGGATATTTCACAGAACTAGAGAAAACAATCCAAAAATTCATTTGGAACCAAAAGAGACCTAGAATAGCAAAAGCAATTCTAGGCAACAGAGACATGACAGGGGTATCACAATCCGGGACTTGAAACTATACCACAAAGCTACTGTGATAAAAACAGCATGGTACCGGCAAAGAAACAGACCCGAGGATCAGTGGGATAGATTAGAAGATGCAGAAAAAACTCCAGACATACTCAGCTACCTCATCTTTGACAAAGGAGCCAACCATCCTCACTGGAGGAATGATAGTCTAATAAGTGGATTTCAACCTGCCAAAGATTTAAAACTAGACCCTGTCAGGCCAGGGATTTAGCTCAGTGGTGCCATTGCCTGCCTTGAAAGCTCAAGGTTCTGAGTTCAATCCCCAGAACCAAAAAAAAAAAAACTGATCCCTGTCTTTCACCATGCACTAAACTAAAATCAAAGTAGATTAAAGATCTAAATATTAAAACAGAAACACTAAACTTGTTGGAAGATAAGTTAGGTGGAACTCTCAAAGACACTGGTGTAGGAAGACTTTATGAACAAAACCTCAGTACCACAGGAACTAGCACAAAGAAACAACTGGGATTTCATCTCATTAAAAAGCTTCTGCAAAAATAAAAAAATAAAAAAAAATTTAAAAAATGTTCTGCACTGCAAGAGAAACCAACAGAGCTAAGAGACAACCTACAATGTAAGAAAAAAATTTTATCAACTGCTCCTCAAAGAACTACTATCTAGAATACATAAAGAACTTTAAAAAAATCAGACCCCCAAATATAAAGACCCAATTCAAAAATGGGCATGTGAAATGAACAGACATTTCTCAAAGTAAAAGCAGCAAATAAACATATGAAAAAATGTTCAACATCACTGGTCATTCGAGAGACGCAGACAAAAACAACACTGAGATTCCACCTCACCCCAGTAAGAATGGCTGCTATCAAGAAATCAACTAATAACAAATGATGACGGGGTTGTGGGGAGAAAGGAACCCTTCTCCATTGTTGATGGGAGTGCAGATTGGTGCAACCACTGCGGAAATCAATATGAGGATACCTCAAAAAACTAGGATCAGAGGTACCATTTGACCCAGATATCCCCCTGCTGGGTATCTTCCCAAAAGAATTAAAAGAATCATACCACAGTGATATATGTGCACCCATGTTTATAGTGGCACAGTTT